AAGTTTAATCCCTCTATAATCATTCAAATGATTCAAACTCAACAAGAGGGGATAAATTAAACTCAAGAAATTCCAATGGGTTTCACGGGTAGGAGTAGGAACCAAAGCCAGCCAACCACCTCTCGGGTAATGGCAAGGCAAAGCAAACCGAGCTCTCAACTAGAGCCAACAAAAATCATAACCAAAGCCATTTCTCAGGTAGGGGCAGAAAAATGCACAAGACGGGCCACCCAACAAGCTCTCGGGTAAGGGCCAAAGACAAGCAAAGTGAGCTACCAATGCCCTCGAGTAAAGACAAGTATAAGAAATCAGTCATGGGCTCTCAAGCAGGAGCTAAAACAAGCAAACCAAGCTCCCAACTAAAGTCAAACCGAGCCCAGCAAGGCCAAACAAGAGCTCCTAAAGCTAGGAAAAGAACTTTTAACACCTCAATGCAAGTCAAGACTCAAGCCCCACAAAAATCAACATCCCATACTCTTGAAATGAAAACCGAATACCAACAAAAGCCCAAAGCCGAGCCCGACAACACTCAAACCCAGTCTTCCATAAAGCATTAAAGCTATAGCCATTTTAAGCCCAAAACCGTGACTCCAAATCAAGCCAAAGCCGAGCCCAACAGGGACTAAAAGCCAAAACCGATCCCAACAAGATTAAAACCAATCCCAGCAAGGCTAAACAAAACAAACACAGCTCCCCATTTAGAGCCAAACCAAGCCCAGCAGAGCTAAACAAAACCAAAGCCAAAGCCGACAATATTAAAATTCAGATTTTCATAAAAAAAAGAAGTTTTAGCCATTTCAAGCCAAAACCAAGCCTCCAAACCGAGGAATCACCTGCATATCTAAATATTCCAAGCATACAACGATTCCAACAGATTTTTTAGTAGGGGAGATGCCTCATGAAGAGTTAAGCCAAGCTCTCAAAACAAGATACAAAGCTTTCCAAATTAAATAAAATTTTCTCGTAGCATACATTTCAAACCCGGGAAAGCCACAGGAACTAAACCGAGCCCCCACATATGTATAAGAAGTAAAGTGAACTCCCTAGCATTCATTTTAAGCAATAACCAGTCATAAGATGCCAAAGCCGAAACCCCAACATGCTTGCAAGAGGAGCAAAAATCA